AGGGAATTTGCAGAAATTCAACCTGGATTCAGAAGAGGACATGGAATGAGGGATACTAGTACTGACATCAGATGGATCGGGGGTGAAAGCAAAGGATACCAGAAAGATATTTATTTATGTTTTTGACTATACAAAGGTATATAACTGTGTGGATCATAACACATTATAGGTAACATTGCAAAGAATGAGAATTCCAGCACACTTAATTGTGCTCATGAGGAAACTGTATATAGACAAAATGGTTGTCATTTGAACAGAACAAGCAGATATTGCATGGTTTTAAATCAGGAAGGGTGTCTATTAGGATAGTACCCTTTCATCATACTTATTGAAACTGTATACTGAGTGAATAATCTGAGAATCTGGAGTATATGAAAAAGAATACAGACTCAGGATTGGAGGAAGTCTCATTAACAACCTACAATATACAGATTACACAACCTTGCTAGCTGAAAGTGAAGATGACTTGAAACACTGATGAAGATCAAAGCTTCAGTATGGATTACACCTCATCATAAAGAAAACAAAGATCCTCACAACTAGACCAATAAGCAACATCACAATAAATGGAGAAGAAAATTGATGCCATCAGAGATTTTATTTTATTTAGATCCATAGTCAACATTCTTGGAAGAAGCAGGCAAGAAATCTGAGGTTGTATTGCACTGGGCAAATCTGCTGCAAAAGACCTCTTTAAAATGTTGAGGAGGAGAGATGTTACTTTGAAGATAAAGGTTTGCCTAACCTAAGCCATGGTATTTTCAATCAACTTCACATGCATATGAAAGCTGAAAAATGAATAAAGAAGACCAAAGAAGAGTCAATGCATTGGAATTGTGTTGGTGAAGAATATTGAAAACACCATGGACTGCCAGAAGAACTGAAGAATCTGTCCTGGAAGGAGTACAACTGCTATGCACCTTACAAGAGAGAATGGCCAGACTTTGTCACATCTACTTTGTCATGTTATCAGAAGGGACAAGTCCCTGTAGAAAGATACCAAGCTTAGTAAAGTAGAGTATCAGCAAAAAAGGGGAAGACACTCAATGAGATGGATTGACATAGTTGCTGCAATGATGGGCTCAAGAAGAGCAAGGATGGTAAGGATG